TWAWWRCMWMAMWYCCAATYCWYTAYYTCATACTTTGTAGAACAGTGAATATTGAGTAGCCCATTTTGCAGGTCTTRAAGAACGAGTCCAAATSAAKTSTYATCATKCCACCCGCCGATACARTRACATCTCYCAGMGWRAGTTCMGTMAACGTAACAGCRGCACGACGAAAAGTSCGAGACTGTGATRTCCAATTGCTGCGGAATATGGCRTAAGACAGCGCATGGAATTCCRMCTGAACCATGCTGCCGTAGTAGCAGCAGGGAAAAATYTCGRTCATAATKGMMAWAATATGGAAAATRTAATAACAGTAATCAAAGAGGTTGTCGGCGAAAAAMAGTAAATATAAGAGACCAATCACGACGTTAATGCCAACAGCTGTAAACTGTACCATGTAGCTRGGGGAGATAATACGTTCCACTTGTTTTGTTGTGCTGTGAATATCATTAATAAGATTAGACAGGTTATTTAGTGAAAATAATTCGCTTACTTCATYAASACTTTGTATTCGTYTATACACAGCACTAGTTCTTCATAGTTTCTATCCCCTTCGGWTTCGTGCTCGTGTCCAATRCGYGAAATACGYCTGGAGAGCAAATGRATATGTCCCGAAAGCATGCAWARGATCATAGGTCCATAMRCATCGTTGGTGAGATTCTGCACGATTTGCATTTTTAAACCGTACGTTTGAAAGACCAATACCGCCAAGTACTTCCAAAATGAATTTTGCCAATCGACAATCACATAAGCCGGATATAAGATATTGGCAGTAGAGAGAGCAGCCAGCACTGCCATACCTGATACCGCAAAGTAGGAAACGGTGAAGAAATTCATCATAAAAATGCACATCGCACGCATATTTTTCATGTAGTAACGCGTATCCTCTTCATTTTGCACCCGCTGATCCAGATTCTGTAGAATTTTGTTAACAAAAATTATTTGGCTGAGTTGCGGACGAAGCGTTAAGTGCTTAGCTGTGCAGGCAATGGTGGAAATAGAGATGGCGAGATTGGTGAAAACGGTTTCCATGTCGCTGGCAAAAAACACTCCCAAAAGCAGATGAAGCGGAAAGGCATACGTTGCGAAAATGTTCAAAAAAATATAATGGAGACCGATCAAATATTTATTATAGTTTGTTTTAAAGCCCAAAAGGTGCCAGAAAAAGAACAATCTCTTGAAAATATTCACCGTGTCGATTTTTGAGTCCATTACGAAAGTTCGAGCAATTCAACCGATGACCTGCAAACTATGACAGTTCATTTCTGGCGCGTTCTGGTATTTAAGGAACTCTGTGGGAATGAAAGGACTGGACAGCGTGTATAAGTTGTTATGCATGTGTCCCCTGTAATTATAATGTGGATTTGTGTAATTAAATTACATTGAAGGCACTTTAAAAACACTTCAATACTAGAATATGACACTTGAATATGACAATGCCAGCTGTTTGAGGGGAAAGCGTTAACATTTGAGTAATTCATCGGATGTTGGTAATATATTATATTTCTATATTGTATATGTTATGATATGAAACCCTCTTTTCAGTTAGGGAGGTTAGAGGGAAATTTAGAGAAAACCGTACAAAATTGCGAGTTTTAATAAAAGACGAATATTCGCGCGAAATATATTATAGCAATTCATATTTCATATTCAAATTTGCATTTTCCCTTCACTTCCATAAAAGTTGTTAGATTCTTCTTGAAGCAATTCAAGATAGTCACCGACTGTCCTATTTTATAAGCAAAAATGCCATACCGATCTAGTTGTGCTCACATCCCAACAGTTTTTTTAATGTATGGCAAATGGGTACTATATCGAGATTAAACTTGAACTGCAAAGTTAAATGATAAAAAGTTGTAGGATTTAAACTTTCTATAAAGGGCTTCTCCGGTAAGGTGAATGAATCCAGGCAGAGACCAAAGGCTGTGATGAAAACTATAGAGCAGCAGACGCAAACGTACGGAAAGGTTTTTCGGTCCATTCAAGGAAATTAATCGAAAACGGAAAAGAGAATGTTAACTCGCAATACATATACGAACACATGTACTAATACACGGAAATTATTTTAAACCTATGTGAGCGAATCGTTTCTGAAGAGCCAGAAGTTCGTGAAAGCCGGTACAACATAAATAAAAGAAGAGAGAAGTACAGTATGCAAGAGCAGCAAATAGTAGAGTCAGTTAATGGCGGTGCGGTGTTGCCAGAAAGTTTGTGAGTGCCACTACCGGAATATGTCGTCCACTTTATGGAGATTTATTTATGAAGGTAGCAAGTAAAGGAAAGTTAACCTTTTGGACAGCTATGTTCTCTTAAAATTAAGTGCACCGAAACTTACACCCTCTTTGCAGAAAAATCATATTGCACTGTATCCGTAATCCTTAATGGCATATTAATTGAACAGCACAAATAACCATACAAATAGGTGACCTTGATCGAATGGCTACATTACAAATGTTTACACCAAATATTGTCTCACTGATTTGCATTTAGCTTTCTGAAACATATGCATAAGAATTCGCTGATGGAAGAGCGTATGCAAATAATTTATTTAGTTAACCACTACAATATCAAAGCGCACTCCTAGGCATTTGTCCCTAAAAGTGTACTTTGTAGTAGGTGAAACCTTAACCCCTCACGTCTGAGGTCTATTCGGACAGCTGTTTACTGTCACATTACTCCCACGCACAGGCGTCCGTTTAATGACTTAATTATATACTCTGTTGTGTAAGTCTTGATTGCTTAATATCATAAACAATATAAGTCGGTGTAAATACGACGCCCACTTTGTTTGCTGGCGCTGCTGTACCATACAATCATACACTATACACCAAAGTAATCGAAAGGAATTTTAACTAATTTCTTAAGTTATGTTAGGCTAACGTGGCGGCTGTTAACATTCCACATTTGCGAACTTTATGTGTTAGTTAATATCTTTTTTTGATACTTCATCTAGCCGTTTTGAACTGCAAAACTCCTAAATAGTTAATGCGAGTCTCTCTCATGGCTATTGCTCTGTACTTTCTGCATACATCTTACTTTTGCTCATCCGGCTCTCATCTAATTATAATAGGTTGTGACCTGTCAAGTGATAAACAATCGTCCGACAGTCGAGTCGCTGTGTCCGATGCATATGAAATTTAGTTAACAGCGGTCCACCACCGCAAAGCACCATAAAACATAATTGGCTTAACTAGCATCGTTCAACACCAATGCTTGAGGTTAGGTGACAGGCCCCATGTAGATCCTAGCATCTTCTTACATGCATGGACTATTGAGTGTTCTCCGGTAGACGTCTTAGCCTGTGGTGGTTGCACCTGCCTCCTCACATCCGCCATCACAGGATTACCAAAATCACGGGCGCAAATGGTGTTGTCGAGATCTGGCAGTTACCGACCCTAAACTGGACGGGAAAGAATAACAGGTGAGTTGTACCACCTACTGACTCGAGAAACGAGTAGGAGTCTTGATCTATACCCATATCTATGACATCAACTTCTGGGGCCTGTTTGGCCAATATCAACTCCGTGGACATTGCAGCTACCCTACCTTTGACGAAGATGTGGGTCTTCATGGATTTAGAGACCTCCTCGTTACGCACGTAACACAAACCAAGCTGTGCATACATTACCACTTGCGTGGGCTTTATCTTGAACATTAATCCTTTATTGTCTTATTTTGGTTTAAGCATTTTAACCTTATGCTTAAAGCCTGTTTTGAATGATATTACTTTCTTGAAACATGTTGCAAAGTGTATTTCTCTCATTAATCTTCTKCTTCCAGGCAATATAAGCTTGCACAAAAATAACTCATTTGCCATAAGTCGTGTAATTTTCTCACAATTTTACAACTAACTAAACTATTTCTGAAGACCTGTTTCAGAGATGGAGAGTT